GGGGCCATCCTGCAGGTGGGCCTTCCCCCTCATCATCATCTCCTCCTACACGGCCAACTTGGCCGCCTTCCTCACCGTGCAGCGGATGGAGGTGCCCATCGAGTCGGCTGACGACTTGGCCGACCAGACCAACATCGAGTACGGCACCATCCATGCCGGCTCCACCATGACCTTCTTCCAGGTGAGGCTCTGGCCCCCGGCCCCGGCGGGAGACCCCAGGAGGGATGGGAACATGACAGGGGACAACATAGCTGCAAATCCCACCAGCTGCCACAGCTGTGCCCAACCCATCGCAACCCAATCCAGCCTGGCTCAATCCAACAGAACAAACCCAATTCAACCCAACCCAGCCATAAAAGCCCAACCTAGCCTGGCTTTATCCAACCCAACCCAATACAGCCCAGCCGAACAAGCCCAATGCAACTCAACCCAACCTGGCTCAATCTAACAGAACAAACCCAATTCAACTCAACCCAGCCAAAAAAGCCTAACCCAAACCAGCTCAACGCAGCTCGAACTAACCCAATGTTGGTCAATCCAACCCAGTTGAACAAGCCTAACTCAGCTCAACCCAACCCAAACTAACCCAATGTGGGTCATCCCAACCGAGCACAGCCCAACTGAACAAACCTAACTCAACCCAACGCAACCCAGGTCAACTCAACAAAATAAACCAATTCAACAAAACCCAATCTGACACAACCCCCACCAGCCATCCCGCCTGCCCCCGCAGCTGCCTTGCCGGTGAGCCCCCTGTGCCCGTCTCCCCCCAGAACTCGCGGTACCAGACCTACCAGCGCATGTGGAACTACATGCAGTCAAAGCAACCGAGTGTCTTTGTGAAGAGCACGGAGGAGGGCATCGCCCGGGTAATGAACTCCAAGTACGCCTTCCTGCTGGAGTCCACCATGAACGAGTACCACCGCCGGCACAACTGCAACCTCACCCAGATTGGTGGGCTGCTGGATACCAAGGGCTACGGCATCGGGATGCCTCTGGGTAGGGGGCCAACGACATGTGGGGCCACCTCTGGGCACAGTGCAGGCGGGTTGGGGGTGAGAGGAGCTGGCTGGGCTGGAGAGGGAGGTAGACACCAAGCCCCGGTCTGATCTCATCTAGACCCCTATCCTGCCCCCCGCTCCAGGCTCACCATTTCGGGACGAGATCACCCTGGCAATCCTGCAGCTGCAGGAGAACAACCGGCTGGAAATCCTCAAGCGGAAGTGGTGGGAAGGGGGGCACTGCCCAAAGGAGGAGGACCACCGAGCCAAAGGTGCGGAAGGAACCCACGTGTCCGGGGCAGGGAAGAGGTTCAAGGGGGGTAAAGGCCAGCAGGGCTCCCTGGGGCCGGGGGGACAGCAGAGATGGGG